GTCGTTCACGTAGTTCATTAGGACGAGTTCCGGGAGAGTAATTTGAAGTTCCGAGTTTTGTAATCGGGTCGTTCACGTAGTTCATTAGGACGAGTTCCGGGAGAGTAATTTGAAGTTCCGAGTTTTGTAATCGGGTCGTTCACGTAGTACATTAGGACGAGTTCCGGGAGAGTAATTTGAAGTTCCGACTTTTGTAATCGGGTCTAAAAGTGAGCCCTAAAGTGTTGTAATAAATAGCAATGCCCATTCACGGCGTAAGTTGATTTATTTGTTTGTGATGACAAGCCTTACAGAATGAGTGGGAGCTTACATTGACATGTGGTGTTCATAGAGCTGTTTCGTTATATATTAGCTTCATTGGATATACCATGTATACTAGCCTAAAAGAGGAAACGCATTCTAATAAGTACAGAGTAGAAAGTGATTTTGATGTACTATATATATATGTATACGGTCTTACCTTGGTGTTTAGTATGATGCTGATGATGTACACTAGCTGTGGAAAGAGAAATAGGATGTTAAGTTACCGTACAGTTCACGAAGCAAACATGCGGGCAGTACTTTATAATGAAAGAATCCTCCGAAAAAGAAATATATATATATATAGTTTAATTTTAAATAAGGTCCTTCACAACTCTTGAACGTTCAACAAGGTATCTGTCTAAGATAACCAACGATCTTTTACTTAAAACTTCTTTTAAATTTATTTCTTCATATTTCAAACTTTCCAAACCGTATTTACTTTTATCTAGAAAATTTACTAATATTATCGTTTTTTTTTTGTTGTTATAAATTTTCAAGAACAATTTTAACATATAAGTCGTTAAGAGTATTTACTTATTCTCATAACGCCATATGAACTTTTCAAAATGGAGACGTCACGAATTTAATTTCTGGTTCTGGTAACTCTAAACTATCATAATGCTAAAGTCGTGATCTGTATTTCCGGTTCTGGTAACTCTAACTAAACTTTATCAAAATGTGAAAGTCATCACCAGCATTTCTGGTTCTCAGAGCTCTATTTAAAATTTATTACAATGTGAAAGTCATCACCTGTATTTCTGGTTCTGGTAGCTCTATTTAAAATTTATCAGAATGTGAAAGTCATGACCTGAGTTCTAATTGTGGTAACTCTATATAAAGTTTATCAAAATGTGAAAGTCGTAACTTGTATTTTTGGTTTTGGTAAATTTATCTAAACGTTATTAAAATATAAATATAAAAGTCAAGACCTGTATTTCTGATTCTGGTAACTCTATCTAAATTTTATTGAAATATAAAAGTCATGACCTGTATTTCTGACTCTGTAAGCACCAACTTATTTCATAATCCAATATAACAATCATTCAATACTAGTATTTATATAAATATAAAATGACGAATATAAACTTAAATTACATTATTTAATATCAAGGTTTAGCTACTCGTGTAAACACAAGAAAAGTACGTTTTCACGTAGGACGTCTGCGTTTTGAGAATTTAAAAACAAAAGTGATATTTCAATAAAGGCAAGGTTTCATTATTAAGTTCTGCGATCGTCGTTCTGTAAAATGGAACACATGATATCCATTTAGTAATATATATATTACCTTTAACACTTAAGGTACGTTTGGTCTTATATCTTTGCATAACCGTTTCGAATTTTTAACTGACAGACTAGAGGTAAGGTAACTAGTTAACAACACCTACTGCCAAATCTTGGCCTGACGAAATAGTGGGATTTGACAGTCACTCTTATAGCACATCCACGGCTCCAGAGTGCGAAGTGTGTCTTGCGATAATGGGACACGAACCATGAACCATGTATTCATAACTTAAAGTACAGTAAACAAATCACTTGAAAAGAATTATCAGTTAATCTGTCTAATAAAATCAGTTTTTAACTCGTAAAATATCCGTTCACAATAAAGGACATTATTGTGTTGAAAACAACAACCACGTGGCATCATCCTACAACGAAGATGATCCATGATTAACTTGGTGAAGGTTAATAAACATTACCTCTGTAAGGCTACATTAATATTTCACGAAAGCGGACATCTTTTAATACCCTATATCATGCCATTGTGTCATGAGACACTCGTAACAGAACAAATAGCTATGTGCTCTCTCCGTAAGTGAAAAGGTTACTACTAGCTTCTAACCAAGAGACGCGCGCACCGCGTCAAGGAGATTAACTTCTCATATATATATGTACTGAGTCATACGATTCGGACCATCAAACAAAAAAAGTGTACACGTGCTTATGGTACACGAAGAACTGTACACGTGGTACCTTTACTGCTCTGTCTGTCCGCAAGATAACACCAGTGTAAACACAAAACAAAAACAAAGGCCGATCAAATATTCCAAATGTATTGTTTATTTTTCGAATTTGAAAACAATGTTAATCTATTGGACGCTCGAAAATTGAAAGCTCGTGCACCGTTGTTTAGACGATGAGTCACTCAGCGAGTAAATAAAAATATGCTTAAGTTTGTTTGTTTTTTAATTGGTTTAAAATAAGCAGTGGTTTGATCTTCATTGCTCCAATGCTTGAGACAGTTTGATTGAACTTGGGGTATTGTGAAGCAAAAACATTATGTCATTTGTCCAAACATAAACGCATTTTGTTTTATTCAGTACGGTGCATTATAAATAGTGTAACGTCGACGGTGGGGGAAGAGAAATAATTAACTGTAGTGTAAGCTGCCACTTTTATGGTTTATGAAGTCTTTCACTGCTCTTATTTTTCAGGTTGGTGAGTAATGCTCCAAGCCATGGAGATGTTAACCCCAATTTCTAACTGACCACCTCGGCAGAGCTCGGGGACCGTGTATTTGACAGGTGGTACCCAATAAAATATTGAAGACCCTAGCGCTATTCCTGCTCGGCGGCTGGGTGCTAATGGTCGTCAATTTTCTCTGATAATGTACTCGTTTACTCTTGCTGTGGCTAATGTGTTTCCAGTAAAGTAAAACTAGAGAACATTAGCAGCAGAAATTCGTAGCGGGCTTTTTTTCTTCTTCTCTGTCAGCTTTAACTACTGCATATTGGATCTTTATGTAGTGTGTTGTAACGGTGTAACCCCAGGGGCTGCCAGTCTCACTTTTGCAAAATATAACTCACAAACCCTACTACACTCCCCGTTGTTCATTTATCAACAAATTCAAATTTCTTACATATATTAGCCAGTGAGTCAGCATTATTATAGCTTATTACACCTCGCGGTATGGCTTTGACAGCAGATGTGCAGATACATCTTGGTTACTGCTGCCCTCTGTCGGCATAAAGAGACATTATTGCCAGCAGATCTAATTTAGTTAAAAATGATTTCGACAATAAACGATAATATATATATTACACATGCATATTTAGCCATCTTTTAAATGAATCGGAAACAACAATTTGCAATAACAATGCAAAACAAGAGAAAACAAACACACAGATTGAAAAACAACTCCACTGGAGTTACTAGCTTTGTTGTTTATACTTCATTGTTCCTTGAAGACATCTTTGAGTTTTTAGAAGCAACATCCACATAAACTATTACATCCTAACAGTACATTCTTTATTTCACTTAATCTGAATTACGGCTACAATTGTATAAAATTTGTTGAAAAACAAAAGCCTTACTGATAGTTTGCACCATCTTGCAAGAACCTCACGTGTAAGAAGAACTATAACACAATCCTAACTAAAGACGTTTGATATGGTAGTAATATCAGTTTTTACTTCATTGGAAAGTGTAAGATATCGAACGTCGGTAGTAATATCAGTTTTTACTTCATTGGAAAGTGTAAGAGTAATATCAGTTTTTACTTCATTGGAAAGATATCGAACGTCAATGACGTTCGAGATCTTACACTTTCCAATGAAGTAAAAACTGATATTACTATTGATGTTCGATATCTTACACTTTCCAACTAAGCAATACCAATATTATCATGACGGTTGATAACTCAACTCTCTACAATTAAGTAAACGCTCATATTACTAGTTTACTTGACTGTGTTTGAAATCTTACCATTCTATGTTGACTAACCCTAGACTTCTGTATAAAAAATGTATTATATTTTCCAAAAGATGGTGATTCATGACTTAATGACTATAGTTTTTGTTGTAGAACAATGAAGTCGTTGACTTTCGTCTACTAATAATTACTTTTCAGACACATTGTGTTACTATCTTCATTTCATCTCCTACATAAGAAAATCCATACATTATTTGTTTTCAAGGTTCAATCTTAATTGAGGTTAAATATTGAAAAAAATAGCTCTATGATATTTTGTCCCCACCCCCAATGTTATTTTCCATATAAATTAATTGGGAGAATTATACAATAAAAACAGTATAAATGTAAGGTACACTAATGACATACCATAAACAAACAACAACATTTACAGATTTAGAGAAGCCACTGGTACAACTTATGGTGGTACCAACTATTATACAACTGGCAATTTGAAAATAGTGGGCAACAACAAAAGTGAATATAAACGTTTAAGAAATGCATGGCAACGAAGAACGAAATGTTTAAGAAACGCATGACTACGGAGGAAACGTTTAAGAAACGCATGACCACAGACAACGATAGGTTTAAGAAACGTATGGCAACGAAGAACGAAACGTTTAAGAAATGCATGACAACAGACAACGATATGTTTAAAAAACGTATGACCACGAGAACGAAACTTTGAACAAACGCAGAC